ATGAATGGAGAGAGAAAACACTAAGATGAGCCTACATACACACATGGGAATGAAGCGCAACACATAGGTAGGTAGGAATGGACAAAACAAGGCTACTACACTACTCAACCACAAGGAGACACAAGAATTGAAGTAGCGATTTACAACCAAGTGGAAGACTAAGTGAAAATTGATGAATAGAGAGAGAAAACACTAAGATGAGCCTACATACACACATGGGAATGAAGCGCAACACATAGGTAGGTAGGAATGGACAAAACAAGGGTACTATACTACTCAAACACAAGGAGACACAAGAATGGAAGTAGCGATTTACAACCAAATGGAGAGATGAGTAGGAGAGAGAGATTAGGAGAGAAAAAAACAAAGTTTTAGCTCAACAACACAAGGGGATGGAGTAGGGAGAAGAGGAGATAGGAGGGAGAGGAGGAAGAAGATGGAGGGGAAGGAGAAGACGAAGAAGAGAAGGGAGGAGAGGAAGAAGAAGAAGAAGGAGAAGAAGGAGAAGAAGAAGAAGAAGAAGAAGAAGAAGGAAGACACTTCTCCACTCACCCCCTTGGATGCTTCCTTCTTGGTGAAGCTTCCCTCTCCTTGGCTATGGCTACCTCCTTCTCCAAGCCTGTCCTTTCCACCTCTCCTTCCCCTTCCGAGTTCCCACGGGCTCCTATCACTAAGGCTAGGGAGTCCTCCCCCCTAGGAGGGCTAATGAGACTCCTCTCAGCCTTGTCTTCTCTTTCACTAGTCTGGGAGTTATGGCGGACTACCTCCCTCACTACCTCTAGCTTGTAGAGCCTCCTCCACTACCTCACAGCCACCTCCAAGCTTCCGGACTAGCAGGGGTTCCCCTCACCACTCTCAAATTGCCTCTAGAGCTCCCACGGGCTCATTTGGGCAGCATGGGCACTCCTCATGCAAGTATGAGAATGACGGACTGATTCCCCAGCTTATATAGGCTGGAAACAGCAGTCCGCCCAACCCTTGGGCCCTCCCAAGTGCCCCCAAGGTGAACCGAGGTACCCCTTTGGCCAATCCTTACCTCTAGGCCTCTCCGGGGGTACCTGGACCTCTTTTCGGCCAGGTACATGCAGTCCGAGTGGTTGGTACCAGCTCGGATTGCCTCTTGGCCTCTCAAGGCCTCAACCCTTTTTCCAAAATGTTGTTTCTAGGGCCTAGACCAAAAAAACTGCAACCCCAATTGGAGAAAAAGGCCAACAAGGCCTTTTTTTCAGCATTTTTTCTGAGTTTGGCCTACCTTGGGTAGGCCGGACCATTTTTCAATGTGGCGCTGCATTTTCAGCCTTGGATCTGACTGAGATCCAAGGCCAGGATTATTCCGAGCTACCCCATGGTAGCCCATGCTTCAAATTTGAGCCCCTAAGTCCAATTTTTCAATTTTTGGTGCATCTGGTTCTTTTTTGGGCCAAATGCGCTGTTTTGTCTTTTTCTCCTTTTTGTTTTCTTTTTCTTTTTTAGCTGCCACCTCATTCCGGATCTAGCCGTTTTTTGCTGGCCCACAAAAAACGGTTGTTTTCCCTTCACCATCATGGTCCAAAAGAAAACCGGAATTTCACCCTTTACATTTTCTTTTAATTTTGCCTTTTTTTAATTCAGATACCAAGGGCCGGCCTGCACTCCTTGAATCTAGGAGGAGTGACGTCATCATTGGGACCTGGCAGTTCCGACCTCAGCCATCCCAATATGCCGGCATGCTCTCCTCCACCCAAATCTCCTATTTTTCCTCATTTCTCCTTATTTTTCTCCCCATTCTTTTTTTTTTTTTTTTTTTTTTTTTCTTGGTGACATGTGTCAATTTGTTGTGCATCTCCTTTCTAGGCCCTAGGACCTTGATTGTGGCCAAGTTCATGGCCGGCTGCTGGCCGTTACACCCCGGCCTATACAAGGTTGGCATGCCCATGCCCCTAAGGGGGCTCATTCTACTCCCCTTAGCCTCCATTTTGAGCCCCCTTGGCTCCGATTTTTCTTGGCTAGCCTGTTCTTTGCTTGGAGCCCCTAGGGCTCTTGTTTTTTTATGCCTAGCTAGTCCGAAATACCTCGGACTTCTAGGCAACCCTCCCCTTGTTATTTTTTTTTATCGCTCCTTACTCCCGTTTTCACCTGTTTGAGCCCCACTAGTGTTGGCACTAGTGGTGCCCGTATTTTCCATCATCGAGATCCTTGATCTCGACGGCGCCGTTTATTTTTCATGGCCACCCCTCACCTTAGCTAGTGGTTTCCTCCTTGGGACACCTCAAGTCTCCGCCGCTTCCCATACTAGTCTCATTTTTTCGCTCCGCCGGCGGTGCCATCGACAAGGCCTATTTTCCGACAATTTTTGTTTGGCCCCCTTTGGCCCCCGGCGTCATCCCGGTTGACGTCCAATTTTTATTTGGGACTTCCCATGTCCCCGACAGTCCTGTTTTATTATTTCTTTTCAGGTGTCCCTTGCCCCGTCAATGTTTTTCTCGGCCACGGGACCCCGCCGTGCAGTTGTCGTTTTACCGTCGCACTCCTATAGGCCCATGACGTCAATTATTAGTGTTCCCGGCTGTGCCGCGGCCCATTTTCCCTTGGTCCGGCATTCCCATGCAGTCCGTTATTTTTTTCGGACTGCATCCACCACCATTTTGCTAGCCCCACAACCCTACGTCATGCCCCATGCCTAAGGAAAATAAAATGTTAGTTTTCCTAACGCCTACGGGCTCACTTTTCGCTCCCGGAGCCCCAAAAATATGAGTTTGTCCCTCCCTATGCAGTCCGTTGCAACTCGGACTGCATTAGGGGCAGTTTCCCTTGCCCCAATGTCCCTCAACTAGCCCCTTTTCAAAAGAAAATCAGGCGGCCACTTCCCAAGTGCACCCGGTCTCAATTTTGGCTCCCGAACACTTAGAACTTGATTTTGGTCTCCCCCATGCAATCCGTTATTTTTCAATTGCATGGGGCCTTGTTTTCTTTTAATTTTTTCAGCATAAATCAAAGAAAAACATGGTCCTTTGTAACCGCCATATTGCCCAAGTGAATCTGGTCCAAAATTATCCCCCTAGGTGGCCGTTTTTGTCTGTTAGTGACCTTTTGACTTTCCCCCTTTTACTTTTTTTTTCTTTTTTTTTTCTTTTCTTTTCCCTCCTCTTGTGGCTAGTTGGGACTTGGCAGTCCCTACTTGCTGTAGTCCCAACTGACGGCCAACTCACCCATCCTCTCTCACCTCCCATTTTTCTTTTCTTTTCTTTTTCTTTTAGCATGCCAAGTGTCAACTAGCCGTTAAGGCCCTTTTCTCATTTTTCTTTTCTTTTCTTTTCTTTTTCTTTTCTTTTCCCTCCACTTGTGGCTAGTTGGGACTTGGCAGTCCCTACTTGCTGCAGTCCCAACTGACGGCCAACTCACTCATCCTCTCTCACCTCCCATTTTTCTTTTTCTCTCATTTTTCTTTTTCT